GCCATAGCACATTGTCCACACAGTTGCCACAGCTTTCATTGCCATATACCTAGGCAAATCCAGGTTTCCAACAGTTTTTACAATTTTTGCCTTTGAGGATACAGAATGGTAAATTATTTCCGCAGCAGCTATTTGTTAACTCTGCTCTGGATCATCAACACATCTTTAAGATTCTTTATACAATGGAGACATCACGGTATAGTGGTTAAGATGCTCAACTAGGAGCAGGGAGATTCAGGGTCTGGTCCTCCCTTAAGCAGGGAAGCCAGCTGGGCAATCTTAGGCCAGTGACTCCCTCTCAATCTCAGTTCAACCTCTGGCTTTGCAACAAGCCGACAAAGCCTCTTGTTGCGACATGAACTGATAGCTTTACTGGAAGAACTAGGTGAGCACAGTGCAAAACAAAGCACACTTTGCAAACATATGGGAAAGAGAAGGACGGGGGCGAAGGGGAAGGAGAAAGGTGACAACAACATGGAATTGCAGTCGCCACCCATCAGAGATAATAACATGCTGCATTTACGTAGTCTTCTAATCAATAAATTTGGACCTTGAATTAATCCCATTTAATAGAGACATACAGGCATTAGCATATACCATAGGCACACTGTATACTGGATGCAAAACGACACTTTGAAAGTTAAGGTACCTGTTGCCCAAGTTCCCAGTTGTTGCCCTAAGATGAATCCTACTGGATCAGTCTAAATTTATCTCTTCCAACATTCTTCATCTCACACACAACTCAAACAGATGTCCTTAAGAAACTCATATCTGGGATCTGAAATGGTAGCTGTCTTCAACTGTTGCTTCATAGGGACTTGTATTTAGAACATGTTATCTTTGATTCTCAAAGTATATTAGTTATTTAAAATAGTTCTCTTTGATTCCTGTATATATTTTCCAGAGGGGTTTTTTTTTCAACCAATCATTTAAATTGATTAAATTGGTGGGCAATTATTTCAGCTTTTAACTATGTATGTCAAATGATATTAATTAAACTTAGACTAGGTGTCACCAACTTGGACAGAAGGCACAGAATTAAGGTGGCAATCCTGCATGGTCCTGCTGTCACCTTGCAGTGAACCCATGATGGGACAAAATTGGAAGCAAATGTTAAGGAGCACACAGCTGGGTAAAAAAGCTGTTTGGAAACCCATCCTGCATTTATTAAGTTTCTAAACAGGATAGCATGAGTGATGTCTCAGACTGTTGCCCCACTGGGTTATGTGGAATGGGAGTAGGTTAGTATAGGATATGAAAACAGTCTGGGACAATTTGAGAGGGATCTGTCAAATCTCAGAAGATACTGATGTTGAGCAACAAGTTGCTACAGTGAAGGGTTATTGGTAGGGGTATGGCTGGATGCAATGGTCTGGCCCTTCCAGGAGAAAGGAGACTTATTTTGTTGCAAGTGCCTGCTTCCATATTTGCCTCCTTTCTGTGTCTGGAAGGAGGCCTCAGCCTACTGCTGTTGAATGTCACGTTTCTGTGTGGTAAGACCACATTCATCCAAAACCTGGTGATGGATGAGTGTGCAGACCGGCCATGCATCATTGAAATGAAGCATAATTGGATATAACAGACATGGATATAACCATAGCAAGATTTATCCTTCTCTGTTTGGCTCAGCAGCCCCAACTCCAAGGTTGGTGTATGTGTGTGTGATGTTTTGTGACACTTTAGTTGTGACTAGATATGCTGCTTTATAGATAACCAGATATGAATGCCTGAAAGTTGAAGTTGGGCCACTGAGTCAAACTATGGTTGCTGCTGTGTACTGACCATTCTGCTATCCAGCAGCAATCTTGCCTGAACAATTAAATCTCATTATCAGGTTGGTGTTGGGAGTCCCAAAGCTATGTCTGTAGCAATGGGGGTTTTCAGTCTATGCCTTGAGTGTGGGATTCAGACAGAACTAGCATGGCACGTCCGCCATGGTAACTATGAGTTTGTCCCAGGTGACTTGTAGGCTGGCATATGCAGGCAGTCACATGTTAATTCTGGTGTTGACCTTAGAGCAGATGAGATGTGATCGGACATTAAAAGACAAGATAATCAGATCAGGTTATTATATGGTCAATATATGGATTATGTTCTATCTCTGCAAGGGCATGGAACCAATTAGGATGGCCTGATGGACCCTATGGGTTTTCTAAAGATGCTTGGAAGATTTTCCCAGGGACCAGGCAGAAACTTCTGTCACACACTTTTTTGAACTCTGGAACTCAGAGACAGGGAAGGTTTTGGACAAGACTGCTGCCATGTAGCCTCTCTATAGTCACTGATCCTGCTTCTTGGGTAATCAAGGGTCTCCAGAAGCTGAAATGTCAAAAGAGATGCCTAGATCAATATTAAGGAAATGAAGATTGAATGCAACTGAACATGGAGATGTTAAGAACAGATTCTTGTCCAGTGCCTTATAAAAAGTTATCCACAGCCTTCTGCTGAGGAAGTTTTTCTTGCAGGCTGTTGTGATATGCTTTGAAGTTTTTGTGGATAGCATTACTCATGTTCACTTTATATTGGATGCCATTTGATTTCAGTACAACAAAATAAGTGAGGTTAAATCTTGAGAAATCATCCTGGATTCTTTTGAATTCATAGTCTAAGGAAGTGAGTAGCTTAAGACCCATCATCATGCATTGGACCCAGCAATTTCATTCTGGAAAGGAAAAGGGATACAACTATTTGCCTTGATGAAGGCAGTGGTGCACCCCTCTTAACAGAGGATCTCTCAACCAGCAATTTTCGACAACTTTTGTCCATTTTGTAATCTTCTCATTAGAGGGAAGATTTTTGAAGAAGATAGTGTGGCTTCGGTTGCCAAATATCCTAGGTGAAATGAATTATCTAGATCCCTCATCTCAGATTTGGGCATGGGTCATTCCACTGAATGACTGTCATCAGGATCCACATGAAGGGAATGCACTTCTGGTCCAATGACACATTTTGGTGCAATTATTTTGCACCACTTGTGAGATTGAGAGCATCATTTTATGACGATCCTGATCTTTCCTAGGAGGGCAGTTCCAACTGATAGTTGGAAGGGAGGAATAGTTGAGCTTGTTGAACTTATAGTTGAACTCATCAAATCTACAGACAACACCAAGGTGAGGGGAATAGCTAATACTTTGGAATATAGGCTCAAGATCCAGAAGGATCTTGACAGATTTGAGCAATGGATCTTATCCATTAAGAGGTAGTTTAGTGGTGAAAAAAGTAAAGTTCTGCACTTAGACATGAAAAATAAAATGCATAGGTACAGTACAGGTGGTACTTGGCTCAATAATAGTAACTATGAGAGGGATTTAGGTGTCCTAGTGCACCACCATTGCAGCTGTCAAAAAAAATAAAAGCAATCCTAGGCTGCATCAACAAAGGGATACTGTCAAGACAATGAGAACTGATAGTACCATTTTACACTGCACCGATGAGACCACACTTGGAATACTGTATCCAGTTTTGCTCACCATGCTACAAAAAAGATGTTGAGATCCTAGAAAGTGTGCGGAGAAGAGCAACAAAGATGATAAAGGGTCTGGAGGCTAAATCGTATGATGAACAGTTGAGGAACTTAAGTAGTCTAGCTTATTAAAGAGAAGGCTCAGGGGAACATGATAACTGTCTCCTAATAATTCAGGGGCTGTCACAAAGAAGAAGAGATTGACTTATTCTCTACAACACCAGAGGGCAGGACAAGAATGGATGGAAGCTGGTCAAAGAGAGATACAACCCATAATTAAGGGAAAAGTTTCCAACAGTGAAAACAATTGATAAATGGAATAGCTTGTCTCCTGGGGTTGTGGGTGCTCTGTAACTGGAGGTTTTCAAAAACAGACTGGACAACCATTTGGCTGGAATGGTATAAGACTCCTGCCTTGAGTTATGAGGAACTAGATGGAACAACAACAACAACAACAAAAATCAAACTGAATCAGAGTAAGATGGAAGTGCTGTTTGTAGATAAACAGTCTTTTCCCCAATTCTTAGATTAGGTCTAAAAGGACCACACTCTCCTTGAAAGACCAGATCTGTGACTTAAGGTTCTCATGACTCCAGCTTGAACAGTAGAGGGAGGCCAAGACTATGGGAATTTTGGCACAACTTCAACAGCTGCAGTCCTTTTTTGACGAAGAAGTCCTTATGTCAGTGACTCATGTTCTTGTTACCTTGCAATTAGACTACTATAATGCACACTACACTAGGTTGCTTTTGAAGATGATTCAGATTCTAACAGTCCTGCTGCTGCTGGAGGTATGTTACTTCTACAGCATAACACCTGTGCAATTGTCACTGCACTGGTTGCCAGTAGGTTTCTGGATCAAAATTCAAATAGCTAGTGTAAATCTATAATGCTCTAAAAGGCACAGCTCCTGCTTACCTTGAGGTCCATCTCCTCTGTAAAATGCCCATCTTGTGAGGTCTTCTCAAAAAAGGATGCATAAGATTCCCCACCCCAAAAGTGAGCAAGATGCCTCTTTTTTGAGAATAGCCCCAAAATTGTGCTTACCCCTTGAGATCTATTTCAAATTGTTGGGGTTTTCAGTAGACTATTAAGACAGGCTTTTTTTTCCAAGAGGCATTTGGGCACTATGTTGGGTTGATTTGGGTTGATGTTGGGTTGATCTTCTATTTTCTGTTTGGTGTTTGTTTTTTTCATTTTATTCTGCAACAGCTTTTGTACAATGTGGGCTGAGGTTTGTTTGCTTGCTTGCTTTTAAAAAAAATGCTATGTTTTTTATTCTGCCTGTTCTTGTAAAACACTTCATGTTAGTGTGCTGTAGTAATCTGTAAGTATATGTAATCAATAACAAAGAAATACGCCTATCTGCATTGTCAGAACAAGTCAATACAGCAGAGTGCCTCCTTTCCCCCCCCCACAATGATGCCAACACCTTGCACAACACAGGTTCTTCTCTCTATGGATACCCAACATGATCCAAATGTAACATTTACTCCCTACCTCACAATCTTCAGAGAAAAAGAAGCCAGACACTCACCACTTTAAAGTCAGAGGGACCACATGGCTCCCCACGGAACAAGCAGGAGAGGAGCATTTCCTGGATATCATGGCCAGCTCGGTCTGAGAACTCCCGCATGTTAAAAGGTTTGGGCTTGAAGTTGCGGAAATTTGCCTTCTCCTGCAGGATCTCCAGCTGTTTCTCATCAGCCATTTGGGTGTCCGGAATCTCATACCTGAGAAAAAATCCAGAGCATAGTCACAGTGGTTCTGTTTGGGTCTCCCTATTGGTTGGGCTGGTGCAGTTCACAGAGAAAGCCCTCCAATGCTCCTGGGCAAAGCATCTGTAAGATGGTGAGATGGTCAGATGAATGCTGGAGATACACCTGGGACTTCTCAGTTCCAGCAGCGAAAGCACAGTGTAATTAAAACCTCACATTGAGACTCTTCTGTGAAGATAAGCAACTGTTCTTCACTCCTTGCAAGACTAACCAGGCATTTTCAGATTATATAATTACTCCTAAAAAAGCAAAAGAAACAGCCACTTGCCACTGAGGCAGCTTTTCCACTCTCCAAAGGCATAACACATTTTACATTAGCAACCAAGATGTTGTTCTCCTGCACGACAGCTACACACTAGGGAAAAAAAAGGCAGATATCGGCTGTTCCCTTGATTTTATGATAACTCTTGTCATAAAGAAGGGAGTGCATGTGAAACAGTGAGGCTGTAAGTGTACTGAGTTTATATTCTGGAAAGAGACAGTCAAAATGTTTATGCATAGCCTTGCGCACACTTGTATGCATTTACCCTTCACAGCCTGTGGATGTTTAATACCAATAGACATTGTGTCCGCTTCATTAACAGCAGTCAAGTCATGTCTCTTTGGGGAATCGAAGAAGGGGTTTCAATACTTCCCATCTCCCCAGGGTACAGGATGTGTCAGCTTTAATGTTTCAACCCAGCCTGCTTCTTCATTAGACTGCTTGGTGGATGAGGATCATCCTTTGCAAGGATAGCATGAGCTTGGAATGAGACTTGAGAAGGAAAGCGTGAATATCCCAGGCCAAAAGCTAACAATGTGTTTTATTAGAGCAGAGAGGTGGAATTTCAGCTGGCTTGAAGCCTGTACTAAATAATGTCAAAAGCTATGTTCCAAACATGGCAGCAGTCAAGATGGGACACAGTGATGGTGGTGGGAAGGCATAGAGTGAAGCATCAGCGGGTTTAATGGGTGTCTTTTGCAAGACTCAAAGCACATATTTCCTTCTTTTAAGCTCTCCAAACTCAAACCCCAACCACAACGTTTTGGACGTTACAGTTTATTTATGTATTAAATTTATATGCTGCTCATCTCACTCAACAATGGGGCACTGGGCAGTTTACAATTAAAGTAATTATTAAAATTAACAAGACTAGGTCCAAAACCAGAAAACCACAAACAAGAATAGTATAGTTGTGGCCTATTTCCTGTTAATCCACCAGCCACCCCCAGCACAGAGCATTTCCATTAGGACCTCAAGTCAGCCGGCAAAGCCAGGGGTTAAGGCCCATGCAGAAGGCCAGAAGGGCAGTGACAGGGCCCACTTAGGCTGCACTGTTTACTTTTCTACCTGACAGGAATGCTCTCCTACTAGGACAACCATCAAAATGCTAATGTAGGAATGTAAAAATCTGCCACTTCAATAGCGTTTCTTGGGACACCTTTAATTCTCAGAATCTCACTTTGATTTAAAGCTAGTTTCTTGTCTATAAGGACTAGAAGAGAACAGTGTGGGCAATGCTTGGAAAAATTATAAAAGTCCAATGAAGGCCCTGAAGAAGCTTTCTAGTGGTCAAGAACACAGTTCAGGGCCTTCTATTGTTCTATAAAAGTTTTTGAGTACAAGCCACCCCATACATATGCATATGCCAAATCAGTGCAAATTGCAAATGCAAAATTTGGATGTTGCCCAGTTTGTCTGCACCTGTTCAACAAAGCAGGCTATTAGAATCAATTGGAATTGCAAAGTATGCTGCTGAAACTTGGAATCATGTCAGTCCCTAAATCTCTAACGTACCCAAATGTGTAATGTTGATTTCCTGACTATAAGTGCATCTAGTATGGCCTGTAACTTATAGTCCTTTTTGAGAAAATCATACCACACTGACAGGGTAAACTACTGCATATAAACAGGATGCAAACCCCAAACTTACTAGCACTGATGATGTTACCTAGTAAGGTAATAAAAGGTCTGCAATCAAGCAAACAAACAAACTCAGAGTATACCAAGGACTCCATAGTTCAACCCTGAGCTGCATATATTTTCTTCTACTGGATCCTTTTGATAATACAGAATTGGTAGAACATTTGTGAAGTGAGGCAGCATACAGATCATGTTTATATAAAGAAGGAGGTAGATTGGGATGCTACAGCTATTTAGTGGCCAGAAACACTGGCCAGTAACACTTGCAAATACAACATTTTATTTGCTTTTGGATGACTTAGGCTAGCACAATCCCCGGAACAACTTTTGACAGTTTCTTTGATAAGTTGATTTCTGCATGTCTAAACTACTTTCTGTTTACAAAAGGAATCAATAACGGTTATAAATAAAGTATCACACATTTAAGCAGATTTCTGGAGTAAGAAGGAAATAAACAGGTTGCTGGGCATAGGGAGCAGACTGGAGGTTTTCCCTGGCTGTCCAGAGAGGGCAAAATGCCACCATTCCAAGGAGCTCTGGAACGTTCAATTGTATAGGATGGATTCACTAGTATTACTTGATTGACATTTCAGAACCTTCTTCTATCTAATGGTTTCAAGATGTATTTAAACTCTGAGTGGTGAATTCTGGAAGATGTCATTCCGCTCTATTTGGACGGCCTCAGGCTGAGAAAACCTGGTCAGTGCTGTGGGACTAATATCAGCTAGTAGCCAGTTAGCTTCTTGGCACATAAAGGAATTAGTATCTAGCTGGCACTTTTTTCAGATGTGAAAAATTCTATAGTTTTCAGAGAAACCTATGGCCAACCCTAAATGTCGCTCAGCTGGCAAAATTAAAGAACAAATCAGAAACGTATTCCCCATTAAGAAACTAGTAAATTTGATTCTTGGGATAAGCATATCTATCAGGGTTAGGCATAGGTTGCTTATTTTCCATAAATATGCAAAACAATCCAGATCCCAAAATCTCTTTTTTTGGTAGTGGACCAATGGGAAAAGGAGAGCAGTTTATCGCTTGTGGGGTGGAAGGGCAGGAGTATCAGTTTTCAAACCCCTCAAAGATCCCATTCTTGGCTTTGTGCAAGGCTCCTTCTGTCATGAGAGCCAAGAATAGGAAACCGTCAGACTTTTATATCATCGCCCACAATCAACACATATACAGTACTATCTACACTAGTTCTAAAAACCCTGATGTATTAACAGATGGCATATTTTGCACGTAGAGAACATTAGATCAGTGCCAGAGGTCGAATTGCTACAAATACTTACATGCAAGCTGCTTATGCCACCCCTTTTTTCTTCTCTTTTCCCCAAATTATAGTTGTGGAAAAGAACATATATTTTATATTTTACAGAAGCAGGTAGCAAGAAATCCAAGCCATTAGGGCCTACAAGGAGCAAAGCCAGGCTACCAAGCCTGCCCTAAATTTTGGATTCCACTCCCACGCTGTTCCCCGATTTGGCCACTTCTATTTTTATTTACTTATTTATTAGATTTTTTTTAATCCCACCTTTATTACTTTATAAGTAACTCAAGGCAGCGAACCTACCTCATACTCCTTCCTCTTCCTATTTTCTCCACAAAAACAATCCTGTGAGGTGAGTCTCCTGGTTTTTGGCTGGTGCCTTAAACATTACACCAAACCGTCTCTTATTATTTGTATGAAACCCAATTGATCAGATGGACCACTCGCTTAACTCAGGGCAGCGGTTTTTTTTTTCATTTTTAACTTACAAAACCAATCCTGACAAAATTAACGACCATTAAATTAGGCAGCTTTAAAAAGAGGTAGAAGCAAAGGCAAGGAGGAGTTGTCTATCCTGAGCTCTGAGCCCTGACAGCTAAACAAAGCCTCCTTGATCAGTGGCAATATACCATCACACCTCGTTGGAAAAGGCAGGGCTGGAAGAGAGGCCAATTGTTTTTAATGTCTGTTTTTAGATTTTTAAAATTTCCACTACCATCTGGCTGGCAGCTACTATTAATAGGGTTGGATTTTTTTTTTTGTCTAATCCAACTAGTTCTTTTTGGTTTTTTTTTAATGTTCTGAAATAAAGGACAATTTGTTATACTCTATGAAATAGTGGCATTTTGGCCCAAAAAAGAAAAACAGCTCTAAAAGAAAGAAAGAAAAAGGGACATTTTGTAAAATTAGCTTTTTTTCCACGATTCAGGACTACAGTCATATTTTGTCTACTTCATTAGGTAGAGAGCAGGTAGCAAGATAGGCAATGGGGATTAGTTGCTCCAGGCACGTATGATTCTGTAGTGAAATATTTGTCATTCAAACAATAAAATTACTCTGATAAAATACAATTCCAAGAACTGATTGAACCATGGACTTCAATAGAAAAAGAGAATGGAGAAAAATCATTCTGATATAGGATGCACTGAAAAAATAAAATTCTGCTACAGCCTCTTAGTTGTAAAAAGTCCTGCATATACCATTTAGAACAGATCACATCACAGCAGCAAGTTCTGCAACATGAAGATGAAAGTACTAGCTCTTATCCACCCGCCATTTAAATTTCACGCCATCCTGAGTTAAAATCCATAAAAACTAATTGACAGAAAGTTTCATCCTCTCCTTCTGGCTTTAGGAATACAACTGAACCAAGTTACATGGAAGCACCTGGCTGAGGTGGCCTAATCAAGTTGACCAATACTTGGTTTCAGGTATTAACTCAGAACCTGGTTGGTCCTAGATGAGAGACTGCCAGGTAATCCCAAGGCTACAGTCTAGACCGGGAAGTCAAAACAAATCCCGGATGAAAACAGTAGCCAACCACTTTTGTATGGTTGCCAAGAAAACAACATCGATATGTTCGTTAATTCATAGGAGTCGAGCTCAGTTCAAAGGAGATGTTACAGTACTTTTACATGCTGGGGAGTTGCAATTCTCTCCAGTAGAGGGCAGTAATATGCTGAGATGAGAAAGATGGAATTGGGGGCTTTGGGGGGACCTCTTGGAATCCTGACTCAGGAGTTGCTTTTTGTAGCTTGCAGAAAACATGCAGTAGGCAACCTCAGCTTCCAATGGCCTCAGTTTCCTCTCAGAAGCGGCTCTCCCTGTTGCCCTTGTGCAGCTGATATCCAGGATGCCCAAACTCTGATTTGCCCTCCCAGGCTGATTCGTGACTAGCTACAGATAGATCTCAGCTCCAAGAATCTGAAAACAGGGGAGTTCAAGCAGCAGACAACATTAGCTGCCTTGTGTCAAGAATATAATCAGCTGTACAAGAAATACTTGTGGTTCAGTCCACAACGTGGGAGCACATCACCCTTAAAGTGCACGAACAGAATAAAATAGGGAACAGAATCAAAGCAGCCTCCATGGGGTCATATGGGACTCTTTGCCACAAATGGGCGGCCGACAGCCTTTACAGTGATATGTACTGCATCTGAAAGGAGTCAAGTGCATGGGCCACACGTCTGGCTTGAAGAAGAGCTGGCCATGTTCAGCCATAGAAACTCACCATGTGACTTGAAGCAGTCACAATTTCAGTCCTCCCTACCTTACAGGATTGTTGCTGTGGAATCAAGGCAGATAGCCTGGAAAAAGATCGGCTGTCCGTATAACAGAGACATAAATCACCTCCAAAGCCATACGAGACCCAGGTCAGTGACCAAGTATATAAAGTCAAGCCTCCCTCAACTTGGACTCTACTCCTGCGGACTTTATAGACACAGCCGTGCAGTTTTCTTGGCAACAATATGGAAACAGTTTTCCATTCTGCCAGTGCTAAATAGCTTGTCACCCAGAAACACTCTCAAATGTGTGTCAGATCACAGTATGAAAATATACATGTTGCACACTTCAGCGCACAGTTCAAACACTTCCCAACACACACACACACACACACACACACACACCATCTCCTATCATGGCCACAAGTGGACCAACTGTTGCACGGCATCCCAGAGATGCTTCGGGACCTCGGGCTTTGCACTCTTGCAGGGCATGGGTGTGCGGGGGCTCCCCCTCCCCATCCTCTGACCCACCTGCTATTGAGCAGGGCGAGGAGCTCCCCAGCATGGTACAAATCATTCTTGGTCACTCGGCTGAAGCGAAACTCGTTGAGGTTGCAGAAGGTGATGGCTGGGAAAGTCATGTGGGTGGTAGCCACCTCGTCCAGCTTGGTGACGTGAGGGTAGTGAAAGTAGTACTGGATCCTCTCATTGCAGACGAAGACCAGCACGGTCAAGGAGCCCAGGAAACACAAGGTCCAGAAGATGCGCTTGATTAAGAGGCGCTCGTAGGAGAAGATGTGGGACAGGCCGTGCAGCGTGGAACTGCTGGCAAATGCCTCCATGCTGACCGGCTGTCCGTTTTCCACCTCCTCCTCGTCCACCTTCAGGTCCATCATGGTCAGAGCCGGGGCAGGGCGACGAGCGGGGGGGAGGAGGGGAAGCCGCACTAGATGGAAAGGAGACAAGCGCTCAGGAGGCGTCTCTGGCCAGCCTGGCCATTATCCCAGTTGGGGAAGGTCTAAACCCAGCGCCCCTTCCCTTCCCTGGCTATTATCTGGAAGCGGGCGGCAGGAAGGAGCTCGGCTCCCAGGCGTTCTCCTCCCCGCGCTCTCCCAGCCAGCCCCCAACCTCCGCTGCACTTTTAACCCGGGCCGGAGGGATCCTCCCCCTTCTTCTCCCCCACCCCCACCATGCCCAGCAAGCCAAACCTGAAAGCAAGGCCAGCGGCGGCGGCCGCCCGCCAGTACTCGGCGACGGCAGCGGCAACGGTTCGCCGGCTCAGCGGCGTGGGGCTGCCGGGGGAGGTAAGGCTGCAGGCAGGCGCGAAGACGCGGCTGGAGAAGCGAGCGCGAAGGCTGCCCGGCTGAGGCTGCACCTGCCGCTGGAGGGCGGGGGATGGCGGCGGGAATCCTTTGCCAGCCGCTGCTGCTGCTGCTGCTGCTTTTGGCCTCGCCTTGGCGCTCGGGAATCCAAGAGAAGCGACGATCGCCGGGAAGCAGCCGGCGGAGAGACTCAGCGACCAGCGGCGGCTGCCTCTCCCCCAAACACATGGAGGCTCCCCGGTGGCGTGGCGAGAGAGGCCGTTGCTTGGGGCGGGGAGGGGATGAGCGGGCGGCGGGAAACGATCGCGCCTGGCGGCGAGGCAGCAGGATCTGCGGGCAGTCGTTGCGTCCAAGACGAGGGCGGCAGGGCCCGACTGCGCTACCCCGGAGTCTTGCGAGAGAGCGCCGGGTGGCGGTGGCGGTGGTGGCGCATGTGTGCGTGTGCCCCTCTCTCTCTGTGTGTGTGGTGTATGTGTGTCCCTGTGTGTGCGCGCACGCCTGTGCGGGAGGAGGAGGAAGAGGAAAGCGGCTCGGAGCCGTAGAAGCGCCGGGCTGAGATTGCAGGGTGGCTGTGTGCGCGTCGGCGGCGACAGCGATGCTGCGCGAGTGTGCGGCGCGCGTGTTGTCACAGGCTCCCCTGCTCCTTTAGATCAACATTTCCTTTTCCCCGAATAAAAGCCAAAGTTCCGTCTCGCCTCCGCCCCCCCCTCCCGCTTCGCCAACAGAATCAAAAGCCAGATCCGCACCGTCGGGAAGCGAGCAAAGCCCAGTCCGCTCTACCATGTCCGGCAGGTTAATCGTGAAGAGGTGTTGCAAGTGACGAGGCGGCAGGTCTAAGGAATAACTGACGATACTATGATCGTGTTTTAAAGCTCTGGCCGTGTTCATTTTAAGGGCAGGCTTTCCTCCAAGGCTTTGCTGTGTGGAACTGCGGCCAGTTCTGGCTTTCCTGATCTGAACTTATTCTAGAATAATATACTAGGTACAAATTGGCTTGTCACATTACATATACAGCAGCTGCTTTATATCGAAAGTATACATCAGGTAACTCTATGGTGTGAGAAGATATTAAGTTTCCACTCAGAATTCCATTCACCAGGTGCTCTGTCTGTTTGTCCTGGCTCAGTTGGGGGGGGGGAGATTGTTTGCTCTAGCACTTCTAACACCTTTTAAGTGAGGTCTAGTCATACAGTCAGTTGCAAATGAAATTCAGAAAAGTGCCTCTCAGATCTTGATCCATCTTAGTAGCAGATCTTCCCAGAAAAACAAAAATAGACAGGCACAAAAATACCCTTCCACTAAGAAGAAATTCAGCTTGCAACCAGCAAAGAAGCAATATTCATTGGGCCAATGAGGGGATTTCATTCTATGACTGCATTTTCTTTTGTGTGTGTGTGTGTGTGTGTGTGTGTGTGCGCGCGCGCGCTAGCAATGCCAATATCTCTTTCTGCTTCTTCCTTTTATTCCGATATGAAAGTCAGCCCTTGATCAGCGGCAGCCCATTTTTTGATACACTATGTAGTACTACCACTGGTAAAGGATTCCTCTCCCCTGACATGCAAACAGGCTTCCAAAAGCAGAGCAGCTAGTCCCTGTTGAATCCTCTGTCTAGTAGTGAAAAATGCTGTTTTGTCGCTTCAGGGTCCCCCCCCCAGGAGGTGACTGTGTCCTCTGCTATACAATGCATGCAGCAAGAGTCAGCAATTTAGTGGAAGGAAAACATTGCTCAAGAGCCTTGAGAGCACTTGATTAACAGCACCTTCCTCCCTGCTACTCAACCAGAGCTGTCATTAATGTGAACATACCAACAGGCTTGGTCTTGGTCCAGTGAAATCAATCGCTTTGTAGAAACAAGGGGATGGAGACAGAATTGGGATCAAGAGCCCAGAGCTTGTGGAAGAAATACAGACAAGTCCCAGTTAGGAATTTGGGTAGGTGGGAAGAAGAATCTGGTATTCTACTGTGGCACATGCCTCGCTGCATAGCAGCATCTGAAAAAGCATAAATGCATGCAGGAACACCTGGCCGTGGCCTTTGTTTCTTCTTGGTGCAGAGCTTAAGATGTATATTACACAAAGAATGTAAACAGCACCAGCTTTTTTGCACTTGCATTGAAAACCAGGACTACAGTTTTGCATTTCCTTCTATTTGTTTGGTAAAAACAGCTGTCTCCATTAAGTAGACGACAAATATGCTCAGACTGGATTGAGAGGAAAACATCTGGGCCTGCTGTGCTGGGCAGCCTTTGTGCTGTAAGTTACAAAGCTGTGCACCAATTTTTTTGGCTGCCTTTTTTTCCCCCTTGTGAGCCAGAAGAGGCAATCTAACGCTCACCCCACCTTCCCAGTGCTTTGGCAAAACTAACCAAATCTACAAGGTTAGCTTATGACCTGTCACAGCTGTTGCTGTTGAAGCCTGATGGGCAATTTAAGAATCAAATAAATGCCATGGTTTATTTATTTAGTATTCATTATCTATTTATTTATTATCTATTAATATTTATATGCCTTCCATTAGCAAACAGTACTCTGGACAACTTGTAATAACAGCCAAAGGATAAAACGCAACTATTAACAAGAAAGATTATAACGTGTCAATAAAATGTGCAGAAATATTCATCCAGTGAAACAAAACCAAGCCACTTAAGCTGTTCTAAGAGATGAGATGCCCAGTTTGGATTTCAAATAAAAGGTTGGAAAGACCTGGTCAAGTAAAAAAATTCCTCACTTGAAAATTGTACACCCTGGAAAGTGTTCATGTGCAGAATACCTCTGTCAAAAAGCCCTGTTCATAAGGAATGTCTGGTCCACAGGATGTTGCTAAACCAGTTTTGAGCAACACAGTCGGCAGGACAATAGGGATCCTAGAAGTTGTATTTAAGCATCATTTAGAGAACCTTAAGTTACTTGTCTTAAGATCCAGGTCTTAGTAGGAACCATGTTCCTATCTCTGCAGGTATCAGCACCAAGCCAAGCTAGAAAACAAGATTGACCTTGATCTGTTCTTGAATCACTTAGATCCTAGGACTGTGATGTGAACCTTTTAGAGTCCAAGTGCCCAAACTGCAACCCAAAACCCACTTATGTATCATTGGGTGCCAGGTGGGTGTGGCCCATTGGGTGGGTGTGGCCCATTGGGTGGGCATGGCTGCGGTGGTCACGGCAGACTGGGAATAAAAAGTGTGATCAATCAATTCCAACTTTGCAAGATCTTTTTTTTCCCCGTGAGAAGTTGAAATTGATTGAACCTTTTTTTTTTTTTTTTTGCACATGGCGGAGGCCTAAAGTGAAAAGATTTTATAAAACTCAGCTGAAGGCCTAGGACTGGGGTGACGGCACGTGTGCCCACAGAGAGGGCTCTGCATGCCACCTGTGGCATGCGTGCCATAGGTTCGCCACCACGGTCCTAGGACTGTTGGCAGGACTGGGAAGCCAATCATTGTTCCAGAAGAGTATGGTTCTTGGGCACAAGTTGCAAAATGGTAATGGTGTTTATTTCTGTAACACCATGAAGGAAATTACATGGGTGCAGTCATCCCAAATCACATTTGTCTCAAATGCGCCTTTATCTTTCACTAATATGCACAAGCAAACATTTAGGTAATCAAGTCTCTCATTTGATTGTGGCTTTTTGATGTCCAAATAAAAAGATGGAATTTTGCAACTTGGCCCCAAGAACCATATTCTTCCAGAGCTGCCTCAGTTTCTGGCTGTCCCTCTCTCTTCCTCTAACCATTAAGCCTACTTCCATTTGAAAATTAAATGCGGAGCAGAACCAAGAAATTTGAGATTGAATTAAGCTTTTAGACCAAAGAAAGCAAGCTTCCCAATGCCCAGTTTTCTAACCCTCCTGATGATTAGGTTGTTTTCTGCACTTGTCAAAGGTTCTTCTTATTACCCCTCAGTATATTCAGATAACCCCAGGATTGACAGTCACACAGAAGTGGGAGCATGTTGAGAAAAGTAGCTGCTGCGCATCTCGGGGGACGTAGACTATAATGAATTTATTTGGAGAAGCAATCTTCCATTCTTTTGTTTTATGAATTTCATTCTGTTCTTTGCAGATAATCAGTGGAGCCAAGAAAATGAATTGGGAAGAATGGTTGCTAAGGGCTCCCTTGTGAACACAGTAGAGAAGCATGTGATGGTCCACTGTGAGAATAGATTTGGTGGAAGGCAAAGTGGCTTTATGGAAAAGTCCAGTTCCTCCCAGAATCATCTAGCCTCATACTGTAGCTGTGAATTGCAATGTTTATATACAGGTGGTCCTCAACTTACAACAGTTTGTTTAGTGACAATTCAAAGTTACAATAGCACTGAAAAAAGTGACTTATGACCATTTTTCATAGTTAACAACCTTTCCAGCATCCCCATGATCATGTGATCAAGGTTCAGATGCTTGGCAATGAGTTCATATTTATGAGTGCCGCTGTGTCCCAATGTCATGTGATTGCCTTTTGTGACCTTCTGACAAGCAAAGTCAATGGGGAAGCCAGATTCACTTAACAACTGACTTACTAACTTATTAGTTGCAGCAAGTCACTTAACAACTGAAGCAAGAAAGGTTGTAAAATGGGGCAAAATTCACTTAACAAATGTCTCACTTAACAACAGAAATTTTGGGCTCAATTTTGGTCATAAGCCGAGGACTGCCTGTATTCCCCATATTCTCCTCCTGAATCTGTGGGTGTTCAATTTTAGACAATTGTTTACTTTTCCTACAGTATTTTACCAGTAGTACTGAAGAAGCCAGTAGTGAGGTTGTAACCTTGAGGAAATTTGCGCCACAGTGCTAGTAATATGATCAGATGTTGCCACACTCTTCTCCATCCCTTCCCCTCTGTATGTATACATCTATACATGCCAAGTTATTGTCTGTTTTAAATATGGTTTGTTGAACACGCCACAGTATCCTAGGTTCATGCTAAACTACAGAATATAAGTTACAATCCACGGGGCTTGGATTCACACGTAATTGTTAAGGCCAAGTTTTTTTTTTTAAACAAAAGCCCCATCATGGTCTATGATGACTGAATCTTGCTAGTAAAAAAATAAAATAAAAGGGGGAGGGACAAAAAAGAGTTAAATTATGTTTAATAATGCCCGATAGCTCCTCTCTTGCCATCTCCCTCCCAAGTTAGAAATGAGATTTAATTCTAAACCTTAATTGCTTTCCTGAGAGGCTGGTAACTGAGTTTGGAAGTCATCCCATAAAGCTCTTTTGTATGGGCTTAACAACTTTTAAGCCCTTCTCAGTTTTTCACATCAGTGAGTGTGGGATTCCAGCTCCCATATAGACAGCATATGTGGAAGCCCATTTGGCACATGAATTAGCACCCACAGATCTGGGGCAAACTTTCCACCTGTAATATATGTAATCCTCAGTATCCCCAGATCCAGAAACTTTCCAGCTTAATTCGTCTTCCCCAGTTTGATTCCTCTAGAACAGGGGTAGGCAACCCAAAACACTCAAAGAGCCACTTGGACCCGTTTCCCACCAAAAACAAAACACCGGGAGCCGCAAAATCCTTTTGATATCTAAAATGAAGATAGCACTGCATATATCCTTTTTTACCTTTATTATAGGTGTGTGTGTGTTTGTGTGTGTGTGTATATATGTGTGTGTGTGTGTGTGTATGTATACACACACACACACACATATATATATACACATACATACACATACACATACAGGTAAAAAAAGGATATATGCAGTGTTATCTTCATTTTAGATGTCAAAAGAGTCTCTCTCTCTTTCTCTCTCTCTCCCTCCCTCTCTTTTCTCTCTCTCTCTCTCTCTCTCCCCCTCCCCCCTCTCTCTTTCTCTCTCTCTCTCCTATCTGCTGCTCACCTGGCAAGCTTCAAGCTGTTGTCCAACAAGCTCAGGGTAAGCAACCTCGTCTCTTTTATGACTCTGAGGTTATCAAAATATGGACTTAACATCTATATTAGAGAGATTTTGTAGACAAACAGGTTTCTACTTTCAATATTTCCTATTCTTGTTTAAATGAA